CCCCCCCCCCTGGCGCCGCCACTGCTAATTCACAACTATTCCTCTACTTTAAAGCCTTGTTTTCAATAATTATTTGATTAGAAAAACCCCAAGGCCTTATTTCTGAAAAAATAATCCCAATCACTTTATAAAATCCCAAAGGCCAACCTGAGCGTAGGTGAATCTCATATTTTATCGACTTACATGCAGTACGCCATCGTTTTCAAAAATGCAAAAACGTATTTATTAGGCTTGCCATATCTATATAAACTTATTTACTATATACATATAACACAAACAATATGGTCTATGGCTGGGTATACGCTACAGCTTTCGCCAATTACAGCGGCTCGTTCCATATACCATAATATATATATATATATATAACGAAAAAACATTGAAACTAACAACTACACGAATTTGAGTACGAGACTTATCACAAGACAAACATAGATTTTTCCATGTTCGTGGATCCGCGGCATCATAGATGTTCCTCAAGACCAGTTTATAGTACTTATAAGGTCCGCTTTTGAATCCATAAAGTGCGTTGTTTTTGTCCGTCAAGTCGTTCGGCTTCGCCTCGGTAGTATATTCCACACTCTTGTTGATCTTTTTAAGTATGATTTCTGGAATGTTGCAGTCTTGCATTTTGTTGTTGTAAATGTCAAACAGTTACAGTAGGATCAGCTGATCTTGTTACTCTCTCCCTGTAGTCTGAGTTGTTGGTAGTATATAGATCGTTATTTATGTCTATCATTCCGTGAGAACCTTTAAAATAGAACACGTACCATATCTGGAAATTCGTGCCAATAACAGAGGAATGAAGTCCAACATTCCGAGTCTCTGCCGGTTGTAGCAGAAGAAAGGCAGGTCTAAAATGTATTTATTTGCTCGTCTATGTATTCTTTCTGTGCGCTTGATCAAGTCAACTGATCGTGGAGCCCAGACTTGAGAGCCGTAGCATAAATGGGAACGTTAAATATACGGGTTGCGACGAACTGAAATAGTTTTTATGTCGAATGATAATCTTATATATGCCAACAATTTGCTGGCTTGAGTGCATTGGCATTCAACATGTTTAGACCAGGTATGATTATGGACGCAGTCCATACTAGCAATCACGTTCGTATATCCGGGATGCGTTGCATTTTCAAACGTTTGCGGTTATGATGTGCATTTACGCCGGATACGTGTGGACAGGGGCTTAAGTAAGACCTCCTTCTGACGTCATTTCGGGATATGGAGTAAGATAAATGCTACATCACAAAATGTTGTATAATATTGAAGGATTTATTCTTGTCACATAATTTATATTTTTGGAATAGAATAAAGTACAATTGGTTTCAAGACCTGATATAAAATATAGTAATATTAAGGTGCACAACTAATATATGAGAACTTGATTTAAATTAACAACTGATACACACTATTATGAAAAAAAATAATATACATTAACAGCTTCAGTAGTAGGTACTCCCCAAGTGAAAACCCCGAGTATCAGGTTTGCAGGTGCGCTAGCAAGCTGTGCCCACTTGTCTTCAGAAAATAAAAACATTTTCAAAATAATACATATTATTATTTACTCAAGTGTGTTTTGTGTTTTGGGAATGTTCATAATGAACTAAACAATTGAAAACATGTCCTCAAATTAACCCAGGGGACCGATGTAAAAATCCCATCCCAAAAATTAAAATCCCATCATATTTGATTGTCAAAGTTTCAGTCGAGTATGGAATGCCAATTATTTTATCATATTAACTGCGAAATTTTGTAAAAATTGGAAAATATCAGGGGGGGCAATCGTCCGGTGGGGGCATACTCCCTTCGGTTCACACTAGCTGAACTTGTTTACTTCTGAAAAGCGACTCTATACTTTTGTTGTGTGCGACTTCACTCATTTTCATCCGTCAGAAACACAAAATCGCCGACAAAATTGCTAATGTGAACCAGGCTTTAGCCACGTTTTCTGAAATAACAGATAATCTGAAAACCACAGATTTGGTATATTTTATATATGTCATAGATGAAAACGTTAAGAAAAGTGGGGGTATGCGGGTATGCCTCCGGTCGAAATGTCAAAGTTCTGTTTATATTTTTCAGGTAGTAGTACCATCTACACTGGTGACCACAGTTAGGTTTTATCATATTCACAGTGTTTGAACATGATGATTTAATGTTTGAAAAAAATAGATTTAAAGTATGGAACTACTACTACTGGGTCAATGCCAGTATATCTATTATGTCAAAATTGTTTGCACAAACATTAATAACACTAGGATATAAATATTAATTCATGTTCAATATGCTCAAATAGAATTATAGCTTGTGCAAAACATAATAAAGTTTGCAGGGAAATTGCAGTTATGAAAATATCACACATACCCATATTTCAAATGTGGCAAATTATTGGGGAAGATGCAGTTAGCTCTCTTTGTATTTAGCTCTGTAGTAATTAATCAATCTTATAAATGAATGGACCCTTTGGATTTCCTTGTAGATAGAACTAGGGGTATAATGTATACATCCCCTTAACCCTGACAGTCTTCAGAAAAATGTTTACACTATTAACCATGCGTCAAGGCTATAAAGATGATACTTCATAGTCCTGCAATAATTAGCAAAGGTATGGTTAGGCTTAATTAAAATCATTTTGAATCAGTCTATTTTGGCATGTTATCACTAATCAACCATAATCAACTTTTTCTCCTGCTGAGACCAGGCCTTGTCCACCATTTTTGTGGGCAAACTGCACAGGAAAAGTAGGTGACAAGGCAAGGAGTGAATTTAGTGAAATATCCTCAGTTTCGGACCAATTTGCCACCCAAAAATGGCAGACAGGGCCTGGTTGCATTGTGTGAGATTAAATCAGGAAGTATATAGCATGAACTGATGCACCAATCATCGCAAATGTTAACACCTGAAGTGTAGAAAAGGGAACAAATCATTGAATAAAGAAACACTGGAATGTGAAATACAAGTGTTTTGTGAAAAGCAATGTGATCTGTTTGTGATACAGATATCCTTGCTGTATAAATACTTTTACCGTCGTTGCAATCGAAGTGTTGATAAAATATTGCACCAATTCATTACCTAACATTGATCAATTCATTTGATCAAAAATTGCTCAACTTCCTGTTTACTGGCATGCTTGTTCCCAAATGGTCAATCAGTCACTGAAACGTAAAGCCATTGGTTGATTCAAACACACAGGAAGTTGATCAATTTTTCAACAAATGAATTGATCAGCTCTAAGTAATGAATTGATGCGATATTTTATCAACACTTCTATTGCAATGACAGTAACAAATTTACTTTTTCCAAACATTGTTTTATGTGAACCACTCATTTCCTCTTTTCCATGCCTCAGAAAGTTCAACCTTGTGATGACTTGCATTCTTGTTTGGCCACAATTACATTCCACCTGTAGCTTTTGCCAACTGTCACATGCAACCTGCTCACAAGTTGAGTTGTATCATGTAAATCAAGCACACAACTCACATACAACAATGTACAGTACTCAGTAGGCACGTCGTGTGTTGAATAACACATTGCAACCCAAATTGTTTTAGGCAAAAGTTGTGTAGTGTAAATCAGCCTTTAAAGAGTTGAGTGCATGACTGTGCTTACCCCAGGCCTACAATCGTCTCTCTTGAAATATGGCATTGATAACTGTGGCCAAATATTTTGTGTGTGTCTGCTACTTAAACAGTTAAACTATACATGAATTTCAAAAATGGTAAATAAGGTAGACTAATTATCTAAGCCCATTGTCCAGCAAAGGAAACTAATTTTGTGCTAACATCCAACACACCTGTCTGCAAATATCAATATATTTTTTTCAGTACATATATGCACCTTGCAGACAGCTGTGTTGTGTATTGTAATTTAATTTCTGATAGACACCTCTTAAACTCTACATAAGTATTTTGTCCCTTTACAATCATCTTATCTCTCGGATCCAGCGTTTGAAGCAAATTCAATGAGTTATTTCAATTTAAATATCTATGTTACTAAGCTGTGAGTATTGGCCAATGTTCAATACTCAATGAGCATATTATACCAGTATAGTTACCCAAACCATTTTCTCACAGAATAGTACATTTCCTCTTTTTACCCTTCTTCGGTTTACTTGCCGACTTGCTACCGTCTTCCATTTTCCGTGAGCGGATTTCTCGCATGAGATCATAAAACACTTTATCGACATTTTCTTTAGTTTTAGCTGATGTTTCAACATATGGGACCTTCCACTCCTCAGCCTTGGCATTTGCAACTTCTTGTGTTACTTGACGTTTGTCTGCCAAGTCTGCCTTGTTGCCAACCAGCAAGAACGGGATGTTTTCATCACCTTTCACACGAAGTATTTGTTCTCGAAAATCGCCCGTGGCTTGAAAAGATTCAGTTTCTGTTATGGAAAATACACATAAGAATCCTTCGCCACTACGAAAATAGTTGTCACGAATAGCAGCGTAATCCTCTTGTCCTGCTGTGTCTAGGATGTCAATTTGACATTCTTCGCCATCCAACATGATTTTCTTTCGATAACTATCCGCTTTCGTCGGCTCATAGTCCTCAACAAACTACAGAATAAATAGGATTAGAAAATACAGACAGAAAGCTTGATTTCGACAGATGAAATCGACATATACAAGTTGACAAGTTGTGACACATTCGAGAACAAAAATATTGCTAACTTAAACAAAACGTACAAAATGTACGGCATGAATGTTTCTATAGGGTATATTTGTACTAATTTTAAAGATTATTAAACGAAGGATTGGATAAATGACAAGATATTTGAGAAAATATTTCTCTCGGAGGGTGGAGTCTTCCACACTCATGACTTACTTCATCGTACATGAACTGTAAAGTGAGCGCAGATTTTCCAACACCGCCGCTTCCAACCATAATAACTTTATGAAGTCCGGTCTGTTTCTCCTTGGTCTTTGACATGTTTACTGTTTATTATTGTGCGAAGTGTAGAAATAAAGAAAAAAGCAGAACAATATACAGTTTTGATATCCCGAGGAAAGAGATGTGTTTGGGTTTGACTTTCGTGACGTCACAGACGAATGTAAGTGCAAAGGAAGTACTTGATGTAGTCAAAGACAAAGAGCAATGCCCAGTTGGCGGGGCATGGTGATCCCTATAACACCGGAACATAAACGTACCAGACGGGGGGCAAGGTGTAGGAGGGCAGTTGCGCTCAGAAAAATTGGGCAAATTTTGAATGTAAGTTGGGCAAAAAGATAAGGGGGGGGGGGGAGTTGAAAAGCAAAACAATAGACAACTTGCGTGTAAGACTAATTTTTGATCTGGGCAAAAAAAGTAAATTCCCGTATTAGTAAATTCCCGTATTACTCAAATTAGTAAAATTGCAAAATTGTGGTTACGAAATGTTGTAAAATACGAAAAATATAACCATGCGAAGTTTGCATATTCTGCATATGTTGTGTTACGTGCGGAGATTGTTACCATTTTAATTTTGAACCGAAAATGGTAACAATTTCGGCACGTAATACAAATTACTATATTTTCCAAGCTTTACAACATTTCACCAGAGCCGTTCCTAGACGCGATAATTGTGGTGTGTATATCCATATATTCATGTTCACATACAGTAAAAACAATCGCTTGCAAAAGAAATCCGTCGGGCAGAACACGAATATATGAATATGCACCAATTGTCGAATTTTTCAATTTTACTCAAATTTCTTTGTGTTTTTAGCTGTGGTGTTCGATTCCCTTCTCGATCTTTCCTTTACTTCATAAAACCACAAAAGTCTGTTTCATCCGTATAGGAATCATCAGGTGATCAGTTTTAAAACTGTTAAAAAACAATTGCGTTGGAGGGTGAAAATCGTAATTTAAAAGACTACATTGAAATCACCAATTTTTCTATCTTACTTATTAATGTTTCATTCATATGTTCGATAGGCAAATTAATGTTTGAACTGAGGTGTCTGGATATAAAAGCACATAATGTGTTTCTTTGTCAGTTTTAATCAATATATAATCTCAATCCACAAAGTTTCACAAAAGTTAGAAACAAAATCATGCCTTCTCACAAACTTTAAATTTTCTCTTATATAAATTCCTACTCCTCCAGAATTAGAGAGACTCTGTTGAAAAATAAAATTGTAATTAGGAATTTCGATATTACTTACAACTTCTTTATTTTGGGTAAACTTGATCTCTGAAACAGACTGAAAGGCCAATAACACTGAACTCATGATTCAAGTCATTTAGAATACAGTATACATCATTTCATAAATGGCTGCCGATTAAAAATTCTTTTATGTAGTATTTAAAACACGGGAAGGAGTGTAGATTTAAAACGCGAGGCGCAGCCGAGCCTTCTGAACTAATAATTTTACGTGCCCTCCCCCCTTTTTCGGTCAAAAATACCTCATGACCCACACCTTTTTTTGCCAGCCCACCCCCGGTCATAAATAATGAATGGTCCCTAACATAAGCATAGTCACAAAAATTTTCCGGACTAACATAAACATACCCAAAAAAATTTTTCAGGACTAACATAAGCATATTCAAACTTTTTCGACCAAGATAAGCAAGGTTTCCAATTTTTTCACCGCAAACATAACAAAAGCTTTAAAATTGTTAAAATTGCGAACCATTTCATAAGTTTGACCTACTTCGACCATCTTTTATCCCAAACTTTTAGTTTTTACCAAACTTTTCCGAGTTTTACTTTCAATTTTAAGCAAACAGTCAGTTTCATTTTGACCAACTTTGGGCAAATATCAGTTCCATTTTGACCAACTTTGACCGTTTGAATTATTGGGGGGGGGGTCTCATTTGATAGAACGTTTAAATTTATGTCTCCAAATTTTCATATCTGGCTAATAGCTTTTGAAATATTTTGCCTCATCATGAAAACAATGGGCTGTCCGCCATCTTGGATCAGTGCCGTAGCAAGCTCGATAATTGGGGGGGGGGCAGATATTCATATATTCGTGTTTTGCGTTATTAATTTCTTTAGAAATCGATTGTTTTTATGGTCCGTGAACACGAATATATGAATATCTGCCCCCCCCCCAATTATCGAGCTGGCTACGGCACTGTCTTGGATTAATTCATTAATTAACGCTGGTTTTGATGACGTTACTGAAGCAGGCTTAGTCATATAAAGCTACTCCTATGTGACCAAATGAAATGGTTAATTGAAATAGTGACCGAAGTATAATTTTGGGCTCATGCATAACGGATCATTGCATATTAGTAAAATATTCGCGTGCACCTGCTGTGTAACATCAGTACATCACATACATATCCACAAATCCCAAGATGGCGCGGAGAGCTCGCTGATTTATGATTGATTTTGCATGGTGTAAAATTTATCGATATAGTTAAACTTTTTTTGAAATGAGACAAACTTTCCCTGTTTTTCACACTGCTTATACTCCACATGCAGCCAGGAATTAGCTAAGGGCCCACAGTAATTGGTTTTAACATTGTATTGTATTGCATTGCATTGCATTGCATTGCATTGCATTGCATTGTATTGTGTTATGTTGTGTTGTGTTGTGTTGTGTTGCTGGACTAATTTTCTCAGATATTTCGGATCATCTTCCTATATTTCATTTAGCTTCTTTGTCCTCACATACTGATGTTTCAGAAAAAGGAAATAATTCACACGACAATAGAACAGTCGACAAAGATAGTCTTGCTTCGTTTTTAGTTTCTGTCAAAAATATTTCTTGGGAAAGTACTTATCAAACAAATGATGCATGTGAATCCTATAATAACTTTCATAATAGCTTAAAAGTAGCAATTGATAAGAGTTTCCCCTTAGTAAAAATGAAACCAAAAACTATTGACCATACAAAAAGCCCCTGGATGACAGGTGGTATTTTGAAATCTATATCCAAGAAAAACCAACTTTATAGAAACTCTTTGAAAAAGCCATCCTACAAAATTGAAATGAAATACAAAAAATACAAAAACAAATTGAATCACTTAATCAAAGCAGCAAAAAAAGCCTATTATGAGAAACAATTTATAAAGCACAAAAATGACATAAAAATGACATGGCGAACAATCAATGAAGTACTTCATAGAAATAAAACTAAAACAAAAATGCCTGACACGTTTTTACTGAAGAATTCAAACATCAATGTTACAAACCCGGTTGATATTGCAAACAAATTTAATGAATACTTTGTAAGTGTCGGACCACAATTAGCTAAAAAAATTCCTAAGGACAGCAACACATCATTTGAAAGCTACCTTAAGGGCAATTATGTTGAAAGTATGTTTATTGAGCCTGTAACCGAAAATGAATTGCTAAATGAAATTATTAATTTAAATGAAAATAAAAGTGCAGGCCACGATGAAATAAATGCAAAAATGATAAAAGCAATAAACTCTGAAATACTTAAATTAACCTTCCTTACAGGGAAGATTCCAAAATTTCTAAAAATTGCTTTGGTTACACCTATTTTTAAAGCGAATGAGAGTAATCTTTTCGAGAACTATAGACCGATTTCGGTTTTGACTTGTTTTTCAAAATTACTTGAGAAACTTATGTATAAACGACTATATAATTATGTCGAAAAACAAAAAATACTAACTAAACATCAATATGGATTTCGCAGAAATAGGTCTACTGAACATGCCATTCTGGAACTAGCCGATACAATTTCTAATGCAATGGATGAAGGAAAATACACAATGGGTGTTTTCCTTGACTTTTCCAAAGCTTTTGATACAGTCAATTTTGAAATTCTTTTTAAAAAGCTACAACATTATGGAATCAGGGGCATTTGTCTTGAATGGTTTAAGGACTATTTGCATGGACGAACTCAAATTGTGAAATTTAAACATCATAGGTCAATTGAAATGAATGTTACTACAGGAGTCCCACGGGGTTCAATTCTTGGTCCATTGCTATTTCTTTTATATATAAACGACATCGAAAACAGTAGTGATATTCTTTCTTTTGTATTATGTGCAGATGATACGAATGCTTTCTATTTAAACTCGTGCTTGAAAACTTTATCTAGTACTATGCAGAATGAAATGAACAAAGTTGTGAAATGGCTCAATGCAAATAAATTATCGATTAACTCTTCTAAAACTAAATTTGTAATTTTTAAATCAAAAAATAAGTTTTTGAATACGGAAGTCACATTGAAAATAAATAATGATTTCCTTAAGCAAGTCCCATTTACAAAGTTCTTAGGTGTTAAATAATTGACCAAAATTTAACTTGGAAGAACCACATCAGCTCAGTTCTCCAAAGCGTTATGAAATCTACAGGTCTGATACCCTGGAAACAGAGGGTATTTATTTTCGCCAAACCTAAAAAAACCTCTGGGCCAGGGTACAGGTCTGATTGCAAAACTAAGACATTTTACGACTAGAAACACCTTAAAATTAATTTACTATGCATTAGTTTATCCATATACCTCACGTACGGAAATCTCAGTAGTTTGGGGAAATACATATCCCACAAGATTGCAAAAGTTAATGAATGTCCAAAAGAAAATTGTTCGATTGATTTGCTTCAAATCTTATACGGATCACTCCGAACCATTATTTTTAGACTTGAAAATTGTCAAAATTTATCAGACTTCTATAGTAATTATACTTTAAGCGAAATAATGAATTTCACAGCTATAATACACGTAATTCTACCAAGTTACACGTTAGCTACAAAAGAACTAATTACCGCAAATATACTGTCTTCAACAAAGGCGTCTCTGTATGGAATAGTATTAATGCATGAAGATATCAAAAATACTAATTCATATCTCTCTTTTAAGAAAAAAGCAAAATTATATTATTTAGTATCTCATGATTGATGTAAATATTGTAAATTACTCTGAACTATAATAATCTCTTTTGTCTTTTCACTATTATTCCTGTTTGTAAATAGTATATTGCTCTTTATTCATGGTTATTGAAAAATAGGGGCCTTACGTAAAAGTCCAACTGGATTTCCAAAGGTCCCTAGCCCTTTATATTATTCTCATATGCTTTGTATATATATATATATATATATATATATATATATATATATATATATATATATATATATATATATATATATATATATATATATATATATATATATATATATATATATATATATATATATATATATCGTTTTGTGGGCAAATAAATAAATATCTATCTATCTGTGTTGTGTTGTGTTGTGTTGTGTTGTGTTGTGTTGTATATACATGTCATTGTGTAAAATTATTAAATGGCGAAGTTGTATAAATAAATAAACAAAGCAGCAGAATACGATTTTACCGAATGCGAAACAGCCGAATACCAAACAGCTGAATACGATTTTGCCAAATGCAAAACAGCCAAATACAAAACAGCCAAATACGATCTTGCCGAATGCAAAACAGCCGAATACGATTATGCCGTGAATACAAAACAGCCGAATACGATTTTGTCGAATAGAAGATTAAATTGTAAAATTGACAGAACTGCATAATTGCATCAAATTGAATGTCAAAATGGCATATTGAATTTTGGCTGTAATCACCCTGCATTGCCATCCTACCAGTTTAGCCATTTCTGCAGGCCTTAAAATATCTTTTACATGCAGGGCCGTCTGACAAAATGTCCGGTGACGTTGAGTTTGGGTCGGACAAATGTCCGATGACCTTCAGTTCATTTTTGACTCGGAAATAAGTCTGAATGACACAAATGAATAAACGGTAAATGTTGTAAAGATATTAAATAATTTGTTTCTTTCATACTTATTTCCAAGCCAAAATTAACTTGCTTTCCAGAACAGCAGTATTAAAAGACTTCGACAACTTAAGCCAGTTTTCCACTTCACCATTTCGCTCGCCACCCCGCGTTCGTCTATGTTAAAACAACATTTCCAGTTGACCTTTTATACAATAGTACTCTGATTTTCCATTTAACATACAAGCCTCTAGTCCTGGGCTAGGGTACATTTTGATTTACGTCGGACAAAGCTACAGTTCGGTCGGACACCAATACACTCGGGTCGGACAAACAATAAACATCAGTTTCACTTAGGTCGGACAAAATGTCCGGTGGTTTCCTTTCTACGTCGAACAATTTCACAAATGGGTTGCTAGGGCAATGTCCGTGACCGACCGATATTTTAAGGCCTAATTTCTGATGACACATAATGAGAGCACCAGTCGGACTGGTGCCTTCTTTGTATGCAAATTGTTGCATTCAATTAGTGACTGAAGTTCCAATGAAATCTCTTTTTCAAGCGAGTTTGAGTTAAGCGGAGTAAATTCCTACAAAAAACAGTGTTAGCTCCAAGGGGAATTGGATTTAGTTCGAGTTAGCGCGGGGGACTACTGTATTATCATTCACCACACTTCAAATTTTACAGTACTGTATTACATGTATCGGGGTACTTGAAATCGACGCATTTGTCTTCTCAGTGTCACTGAAGAGCAAGATAGGGTGGTCTCTTTGGAACATCTTTGCTTGGAAAAACTAAACTAGAATTTCGTCCTAAAATGCCATGGACCCCGTCCCCAAATTCTGGCCTACCGAGTCAACTGACTCGGTTGACTCATAGCTAGTTACAGGCCTGCAGATGATGGTCAAATTCAGAAATGTTAACAACTTAACATCGTTTTCTCACTTTGATACATAATTGCTGGTTGACCACCTACTGCAGGTTCTTCTAAGGGACCTCACTGGGGGGGGGGGACAAAATTGCCGACTGGAGGGGGCAATAAGAGGGCTGGGGGGGGGACAAGTCCTCCCCAGTCTATATGTTATTAAAAGAGGCCATGAATTAAAATAATATAGAAAGGTCTATCTTTGCATGGAACTCCATGCATATTGCATTATGCAGTATCTTTCTCATAATTAGAGACCTTTAGTTTGACATTTACAGCTAACGCCAAACCGCTAACGATGATTGTGATGATTTAACTACGCTTTTGTAGATATTACACTAATTTTGTTACATAATAAACATCCTACACAAAGCTCGTGACATTTAGTAATGACTATCAGAAAATTAGTTAGCCACTACTAGCCAAGACAGTAAATTCAGCTTTTAAGTTTGAGGTTAACGTTTGCGGTATAAATTTTACACATGGATCCCGATACGTTTTATTTCTATTTTTATAATATGAATTTTAATACACATGCCCTTGAAAAAATTTCTGCATATCTTTTCATGGCCCACCCTTGTGATTGTACTTAATTTTCGATGACCCACCCCTTCAACCGTGCTCAAAAATAGTGACCCACCCCCTATTTTTCCCAGCCCACCCCCCTTTTACTTTATGACCAGTCCCTTATTCGTGACTCATTCAGGCTGCAGCTTATTTAAGCAGAGACGTATGAGAACTATTTCCAGCTAGATTGTGGACGACTCAAATCATTGCTCTTTTACATGCCTCAAATGTCGGCGCTTACCTCGAGCGTCGAATATTTTCAATGACTCCGAGTTAAGCCCCTCTTTTTTCACGGGGCTTATAACTCGAACTTTCCAAGTTGTGTTTCTTTCTTCGACGAAAGTGGGTGTGGCTTGGCGAAAGTGGGTGTGGTTTGGGCGTGGTCGGAGCTTAACTCGAAGATTACCTACCTCTGCTACTATTGTTCCCAGTAAACTGCGAAACGACCGTTTTTTAGGCGCTTTGTCAGTGATAGTTTGTCAGTTTTGTCAATTACGAAGGACATATTTGTGTACCTCGTGATCACAATTCGTTGCAGTTTTTCACACGCCGCTTGCAACGAATTGTGATCACGAGGTACACAAATATGTCCTTCGTAATTGACAAAACTGTCACTGACAAAGCGCCTAAAAAAACGGTCGTTTCGCAGTTCACTGGGAACAATAGTATGTTGTGCCTTCGACACACTCATGCATCGACACATCACACATGCACAATTCGCTTTAAAAATGTTATTACATAGTATCGATATCGTAGATGGTTACCAGACATCCTCACAAGGTATCCTCAGCCCCATTCAGAATAATTTGCTAGTTCATTTCTATTCTCATTCAATCATATACATTTCATCTAAAATTTCGTCATGGCTTTATATTATTTCAGATGCGGCACTTGCTATAAACATACAAATTAAATACAAACATGGAGGCAGATCATTGACTAAAACTATCAGCACAAATGGTTACCGTTTCTCTTTTTGTTTAAAAATTACAAACATGGGTTTTTCATATCTCACTGGATATCAAAGACCATTGGAAGTAATGCACGTTTCTCTCATTTCAAAGATAGCGCCATATAATGTCTAACCGACCTTAATCAATTCTACGAGGTTTTCAAAATATTTTGGCAAGAACAGGATAAAGCAGCTATCGATAAATTGTGAAAAATAATAGAAAGCTACGGATTGATAGGGATACAACAACCTGAAAAATACAAGAACTTCGACATTTCGACCGAAGGCCTTCGTTACATGAGCTTTTATACCAGTGAATATGAAAGCAATCACGTGACAAAAAATAAACCAATAGGTTTTAGTATTTTTGCGCAAGTGAACATATAACAAATCCTACACGTTGATTGGTCAAATTACATTCATCTACAGGTGAATATAACAAAACCGAAATTTTCAAATTGCGGCTAGCTGTTTTGTCAGAAGCTACTGATAAAGAAATAAGCGAAATTAAAATAAATTCAGTCCCAAAAACACAAAAGACTTGTGTAAAAATACTAAAACAATTATTCGCCTCAGGCTCGGTGATTATCGGGAAATATTCACCTCGACTTCGTCTCGGCGAAATTCCCCGATAATCACCTCGCCTTCGGCGAATAATTAAATATTCACTAGTACAAAATCTCATGTGATAGGCAATTCCAGCTTTTAGTTTATGCCTTCAGGGGATGATGGGAAGTAAGGTATCGTATTGCTGATTATGCTGAAAAATTTCAATAAAAACTACCGAAACAACCGAAATATTTCAATATTTACAAGTATAAGCTATCACTCCGTGTTTACACGGCTACCATTTTTAGTTTTTCAGCATAATCACCAATGTGATACCTTACTTCCCATCGTCCACTGCACGCATAAATTAAAAGCTGGAATTGCCTATTTTCCCGACCTCGGCTAGTAACTTCCTGACGAAGGGCCTTGGTTCGAAACGTGAAAGTTCTCCTTGTATTTTTCAGGTGGTAGGTAGTAGTATGCCTTTCCATCCGCAGCTTTCTTATTATTGGCACTACCTACACTGGCACAGAACGTTTATGATTCCAATAATTCTTTTAAACGAGAGAAATTATTGTTTACTTCCACTTCCATGATCCTATAGTAAATTATACCTAGGCGCCGTATCACCGTAAACCTCCAAACATATATAGCTCCTGGGGTTATATTCATTCCTAAGCATTCTTACGGCTCATATACGGAGGGGCTAATATATGCTTCGAAAACTTTTATTAATAGTTCATGAAGAAAACACAAAGAAAAATCAAAAGCGTGTCGTATCTTTATATGTGATAGAGATTTCCATTGATTTACTTAAACTTTAACTTTGATTTTCTCGACTTACACAACGTATTTTTTGAAAATTACTTCGCCAATGAATTACTATTTAAAACATGCATGAGCAGCAGTGTTTTATCAGACCTAAATACCTGATAAAACAGACCTGATAAAACACTGCTGTTCATGTTTTAAATAGTGCATAAAACATTGTGTTAGTAATAATAGTTATTGTTAATGAAAACAATTATAATATCTATGAAGCATTAACAAAAACGTTTATGAAGCATTAATCGGGGTTTCATGGACTTTTCCAGGATATTTAAGGACGTTTTCCCAATAGGTCAAGGAACTAAAACTGGAAAAATCTTTGAAAATGGCACCGATTTTTATTTTTGAAACACTAATACACTACTACTTATTCAAAATCAATAGTCTAAATCATATACAAGTATTATCAGCACAGCTGGAAAGAAATTCCAGGACACTCAAGGACCTGCGCTAATTTTCAAAGAATTTAAGGAATTTCAGGCTTTTGAAGACCCGCGGACACCCCGAATATTAAATGAACATTGTCTTGTTCAGCTAAAAGGTCATGGACTTACCCGATAATAGTGATTACAGACGGCGCTTATTACACGGGGGTGGGGGCTTCATATTCAGAGGTTTACGGTACTTCCTATTTTTCGTACGCCCATGCACGCATTGATTAATGGCGATCAGAATTCTTGTCTCTCATGCGACCATCAGATTCCGCATTGTACGGCCTATAGTCAATATACGAAGAGTCAGACTGCCGACGGACCCTATCTGTCATTTTCTGTAAAACATGATCTTGCTCGTCCACAGCTTGAGTCCCGCCTAAGTCATTACTAGTTGGCCTTTCATCCAAGTTTACATTACCTCCATCTTCCTCGAATGTCGGCAGTCCTTCGGAAAGAGAGTTATTGTGCATTTTCTTTTGTACATATATTTTAGACAACGAGTCTTTCAGTCCACCAGCAGTAGTCAAGCTAATTTTCTCACCGCTCGCCCCGTTGCCTGCTTTCAGGGATTGCTCCGTGTTAGTGCCGCCAACGTTTTCAGGTTTTGTGCCTCCAGATGTGGACTCTTTCCTGGGCTGTTTATTACTGGAGGGGCGAGAATTGTCTTCCTGACTTTTACCTTCTTTATTCCGCCTTCTTTTCTTACACCACATTTCATGACAATCTTGCCAAAGTGGAAAACTACAATAAAAAATCTTCCGTCATAGGTTGTCAAATACTGTAGTTTTATGTATTGATTGGAACTATGCCCAACTTGATCTCCAACTTCTTATGCATCTTGATGCTTGCAGTTACCATATGGTAGCTTGTACAAAGAGGTTTAAACTATATTCACTGTACAATGCTGCAGAAGTTAGGGAGCCATGGAGCGCCGCTAGTCAAACGAGCTAACTCCAAATTCAAAATGTGCGCTTTAGGACTTAGTTGAATTAAGAATTCTGGAGTTACTGGAGATTGCTATCTTAACCTGGAGTTACCGGTTAAAACTCCAAAAATCTGGGGACAGTTATCTGACCCTGGAGTAAATTAATGGCTGCGTTGACATAGCCTTACTCTATGCGACAATTGGAAACCTCCACAATAAAACTCCAGAATCTACAGGCATGCTGTATAATTATAATGCTGCGTTTACACATTGTGGTTCACATTTTGGCCAGAGTATTATATATAATAGATGTTTACATGAAACTTGGACGAAAAATTGCTCAGACCTTCAGACCGGTCTGACGTCATCTCGCTCGCTGTACAGAAGTTCCCAAACCGACTATCTTCAGACGGGGATGAATTCGGAGAGCGGGATGAATGTGAACACAAATACATTTCAGACCAGTCTCTTGGCTTCGGAACAATGCATGCTGTTGGCTTCGGAACAATGCATGCTGTTGGCTTCGGAACAATGCAGGCTCTTGGCTTCGGAACAATGCATGCTCTTGGCTTCGGAACAATGCATGCTCTTGGCTTCAGAACAATGCATGCTCTTGGCTTCAGAACAATGCATGCTCTTGGCTTCGGAACAATGCATGCTCTTGGCTTCAGAACAATGCATGCTCTTGGCTTCGGAATAATGCATGTTCTTGGCTTCGGAACAATGCATGCTCTTGGCTTCGGAACAATGCATGCTCTTGAGTCTTGACTTCGGAACAATGCATGCTCTTGGCTTCGGAACAATGCATGCTCTTGAGTCTTGGCTTCGGAACAATGCATGCTCTTGGCTTCGGAACAATGCATGCTCTTGAGTCTTGGGGAGGTGCAAAACGATCTCAGGGGAGGTGCAAAACGATCTCAGGGGAGGTGCGCACCTCGCCACAAAATCCGGCTATGACTTCTTTCAAAAAACCTCATACTCCAAATTTTATTCGGAACTCTGATTGGGGGGTAAGGGGCACAATCACTTGTTAGCTGATTAGGTCTATTGAAAACATACCTGGGAGGAGCAATCTTTGCTGGATCAACATCCTTTAGAAAGTCATGTTGTAAAGACTCTTCAGAGGTAATTCTCTTGGATGGATCAAGTATCAACATACGGTCCAGTAGGTCAAGTGCGACTGGTGGAAGACTAAACAAACCAAACACCTGATCTCAAATGTCTGAGTTGCTTGAAAGAACTTTTATAATTCTCTTAGCTGGATAACCTGTTGCATAGTTTTTTATATAGGAAATTAGTTCTTGTGTATATTAACAAGAAGGCTTGCTAGCCGGTCGTATCTGATATTTATATCGTATGTTTGCTTAGTGTAAACTTCTTTGTTACCGTAGCTATAAAACAGAGAGGTTCAGATTTGACTTCCACTACCGCTACCTCTCATTGGTTTAGTAAGCATCTGATTGGTTAATCGAATATATCAAACGCATCTGATTGGTTAATGGTCGCCTAATAGTAGCGGAAGTCAAATCTGAACCTCTCATTTATCGATACTAAAAAAGACCGCAGTCTATTATAATGCAGTTTATTGTCCAACTTACGATATAAATTCCTCAACGACTCTCCTTCGATATTGTTTCTTTGGTTTAATAGTGCTGAAATGAGGTAGGTTGATCACGTCAGGCCATACGGCCGGTGTTGGAGTGCCACAAATTCGGCTAAAATTAAAAGTGAAGGAAAATATTAAAAGAACACACGACTGATAGAAAGTGTAATGCCTCACTCAGCTAGCATCACGATCTTCATTATATACCGTATAAACTAGACTGGGAGTCACTATCGCAAGGAAAGTGCTGCCTCAAACTTGACGCTCACAATGAATAGATTGGGAATAAGACTGGGAATAAATACAGTACATTGGGTATTTCGTGTTGTTTAGGGCGCTAATGACGGAGCACTACTCTTCGTTAGAATGAGCGCTTTAAACGTTCGTGGCCTTGATTATCTACAATACAATATATTTAAAGTCAAAAGCATAGGGAACAAGACGCTCTATTGAACGTTAGTCGTTGGGGTTATTGTAAGTTGCTGCCTTTTGTTTGTTTACGTCTTCATATGAAATTGTTTTAGTCAAAAATGGGATTCAAAGATATACCAAAGAGAAAGTGGCAAAAATACCCATGTTTTCAAAAGATCTATCATTGTGTACCGAATAATGTGTTGCAAGTAAAATCTACAAATGTAGAAATCACTTGACATACCTAATCAGTTCTAGCTGTCCAAGTTCTTCACCGGCTTGAAATAATGGCTTCTTCATAAACAGTTCTCCAAGAATACACCTGTAAAACAAACGGCGAAAGTAATGCAAAACCAGTACACGTTTTCCATGTCATGCATTCCCTTAATTTAAATAAACTGACGAACGTGAACAGCGATGTAAGTGATTACTAACCCACAACTCCAGATATCAATTGCTGGTCCGTATCTCTCTTCACCAAGCAACAACTCAGGAGGGCGATACCATAGCGTGATTACTTTGTTTGTGTATGGACGACTAAAATGGAGAAAATTACAAGATATTCAGGGTACGATATTTCACGTATTTGCGTACTGGAGGTACGCCAATATTACGGTATGGTACGCGGAACGCTTGCTATCCACGTACTTACTTTCTGCTGGTACTACATAACCTTGCCAAGGTATTCAAAACCATATATGGGTTAGGATGAGGCGTTTCATGGTAAAAACCGAAAACCGTCTGAAAAAACCCGAGTTTTATAACTTATGTCAAAATATAGTACAATTGGATTAAACTTTAGTTTTAAACACAAGGGTATTGATGGTGTGGTACTGTCTTGATTTGTAAGCGGTAAGCCACCGTTAGGTGCGCTATTTTCTCAAGTTTTTAACGTTTGAAAGTTGGAAGTTTTGTCAGAAAACGTTGAACTAGCACACTTTAGCGACTTTACCCTATCTCTTCAATGTCTGTTGTAAGGGTGCACCGGAACCAATTAAGTTCCGGCTGGAACGGGATCTGGGGAAAAGTTGGAGTAGATTTCTGTGGTAGAATATCTGTAATTAAATTATGCCACTAATATGGTGATCTGCTCAAATATTTGGACGATGTTCGTCAGTAAATGAACTTTGCATTCTTTCTCATAAGATAGAGTTCTGGTTCCGGCCATGCTTTTTTCTCCCTAGTCGGCTGGAACCCTAAAACATTTCGACCGAAACCAAGTTCCGGTTCACCACTAGTCTGTTGTAAAGTAAGAGTATAAAAAGAAATCGGCGAAGTGACCTGTGGCTGCGCATTAAAATTATCAATTACTAATACTGTACACTATGCATGCTCGTGCTAAATATTTTTCTTGAAACAAGCTGGTTTATCACTGAGTTTAAAAACATACTTGTTACCTTTCATCCGCGTTATATAGCCTTGCTAATCCAAAGTCCCCAAGCTTAATCTCTCCCCTGCAATTGAATCATATGTTGAATCAATTGTCGAACTTTGAAAGATAATGGTACGACGGTATGATGTAAACAGGGAACTACTGTATACAATTATAATACTGTAAATAACTGGACCTATATACTACTAACGCAAGGAAAAAACGCACAAGTTGTTATAGGTCTGCAAACAAGTTGTTACAAATCTGTCCACAAGCTGTGTTCGCACTGCTCGTTCTTATAGTTGTTGTAACAAGTTTGGAACAAGCTGTTAACAACTTGTAACAAGCTTGATGGCATTATCAGACTTGTTACAAGGTCGTTCTAACACGTCTGATACAGTCATGATATTAACAAGAATGTCACAAGGTTCGCGACGCAAGGTTGTATACAATATGGTTATATCATGACTGTATTAGACTTGTTGGAAAAACCTTGCAACAAGTCTGATATCAACAAGGTTGTTACAAGATGTTAACAGCTTGTTCCAAACTTGTTGACAACTAAAGCGCGAAGACATACTATTTTTGAAATGTCAAGGCCTATGATTCTGAACAGACTAACAAACTAACAGATTGACAAACTCATGCAGTGAATATAAATCGATGCTTAACTTCGTTTGGTCCCCGCAATTCAGTACAAAATTTACAATAAACTTACTTGTTATTTAAGAAAATATTGGAACATTTGATGTCCCGATGTAAAAAATTACGTTCGTGGCAGTAGTTCAAACCATCCATAAGCTGCCTCATAAATGACTGAATATGCTCATCTGAGAAGTACACTAAGCCAGATTCAAGTATGCCCATTAGATCATGGTCGAGGTATTCAAAAACAAGATAAAAAGCCCCTAATGAATAAAATAGAAACAAGTTCGGTTAGGCGTTGACCATCACTGCATCAGGACAAACAGCTAGTTAACAAAAGGAAACTATACGACAACTCACAGCTCCTATACATAAATACCAGACAGATACTTGGGGCTGTTTGCATGATCACGGTTTGCCGGGACGAGATGCGCGATGATTTTGATGTATTGAAATATTAAAGTCACAGTTCATGATTCAGCAAACCTACATCACTTTTCTAGTGATAGACTACAGAATAATTGTAAACGAAAGGTTGTTCCAGCAGCATTAATAATCTTCTAATCTTGAACTACAAGATCTTCTCGAGAACATTTGAGTTCTTTTAATTAAACGGTGTTTGAGTTCATTTAACCGGCGATCATGTAAACAGCCCCTTAATTGGCAAAACACAACAACTATGTATAACTAGTCTCGTAATAATAAACAAGCCCACTGTGCTTTTCGCACTTAGAGGAATTGCGGCTGCGAGTTTTGACCTTCCAGTCTTGGTGGTGAGCAAGCAAATGCAAATTTTTTCATACGCAAGGAAGAGATGAAACGCTTTACTTAGTTCGGATTTATTTATAAAACATTTGCAAGAAATATTTAATAACGAACTTTCTCTTAGCCTCATTTTATTGATAGACTTTATGTACTATTTAAAACATGAACAGGGATGCTTTATGACGTTATCAGATATAAAACGAGTGTTTTAATGGCCTAAAAAGACTATGTTATGAGTTCATTGGCAAAGTAATTTTTTAATCAACGTTATCTTAGCCGAGAAAATCAAGGCTAAAATGTATGTAAATTAATATGATTTTTATCACACTGATATAAAAGGTATTATAAAGTATGTAGTAAACTATTCCAATGATATGAATTTTTTCTTCTGTGTTGGTGTAGTGTACCCAGGTGAATATGATATTTGTGGTGTTACTCTGAGTGTATATCCACACCGGGCGAGCTTGAAAAATATGCCCGGCCACAGTGGGATTCGAACCTACGACCTTTGGAACACTAGCCCGATGCTCTTCCAACTGAGCTACGCGGTCAGGACGGTTCGAGTAAGTGACATTTCGGAACAGAATCTAGTTCCTTCGGGCTAGTGTTCCAAAGGTCGTAGGTTCGAATCCCACCGTGGCCGGGCATATTTTTCAAGCTCGCCCGGTGTGGATATACACTCAGAGTAACACCACAAATATCATTATTCCAATGATAGTTCTAATTTCAATGGGTTTCTCGGACACGTAATTTATGTGCTTGCGCAACCTTGTACCAAAGGAGAAGGAGTCGCAAGCTGTTTAGAATATTGTAGTTTTTAACCCGATGATGGAGTAAACTCCGTAACGTAGTTGTCAAGTCTTGTTCTTGTTCATTAAACACACAAAAGTCTGTTTGCAAGAAAAGTGCGAACATTGCTACACGTTTATTGGAGAAGCAACGAATATTATATAGGCGTGGCAGGGGATAAAGAACACTTCCGTAACATCGCAATAAATTTGGCGCATAATTTACAACAATACGAAGGTCACCAAAACTAGCGATAAAATTATCAGAGAAGTAAGCTGCGGTGATTGATGCTGATTTTCATACAGCCGATTCGAGTTTACATTACATGGAAACGAGGCTTACCTCTATCCTTTCTGAAGTCCATGGCATTTTTCTTGTCTGTGACAATTTCCTGTAACTTCACGATATTCTTATGACATAACTGACGTAAAATTTTGATTTCTCGCACAGCTGTTATAGGGAAGCCTTCTTTTTCATTGTCTAATCGAACTTTCTTTAATGCCACAACTTCCCCTAAATCAAGTAGATTAAAAACATGTTTGGTGGTTTACAAAAGTTTCTATCAAAAAGTGGTACCAAGTTGTCCAATAGTTTCCTATCATTAGACTCCTCCGCAGACATCTCTCAGGGTTAGGGTTCGAAAAAACCCCTAATTATTTTAATGATCAACCTAACCCCAGACTAAGAGATGCCTGCGGATGAGGGTATCTTATCCAGTGAGCTCTCTCTCTCTCTATATATATAATATCTGGAGCAAGAACTTCATTCGGCCTATGAGGAAAGTGAAGTCAAGATGGCGGAAATTGACGTCCAATAGCAATGAAGGTCGTAAACAGTTTTAATACCATTTTCCCCAGCTAATATTCCAGGTTTTTCAAACGGACCCTATCGCTAAACAAGTTATATCTATGTCAAAATACGAAATTTCAGCACACTCCAATTGACCATTTGCGTAATAGACTAAATTTTGATCTCAACAAAAATTTCATCATAGATTGAAAGAGCATCACAAAATTAGTAATATTCCAAAATTTTGTTGCGAAATGTTGTAAAATGCGGAAAATATAGCCTTGCGAAGTTTGCAATTTTCAGTCATTTTAGATTACAAATGGAAATTGACAGCCCCAAACCCTTTGAGGCTGTCAATTTCCCGTTTGTAATCTA